TATGAAATAAATAATTGAAAATAGCCTACCACTTTGTTTTTTTGGAGGTTACAAAGATAGGTATATTTGATAAATGTGAGGCAATAACAGAACAAATTCTGTATTCCTAATCTGGTAAGCACTTACCGAGTTCCCACAACAAGCTCATCGAGGTTTGGGGCCCTAGGCAGGAGGAGTATCAGGCACATAAATGGTTAGTGACTAGTATGTCCATTCCCTTCTAAACGAGTATTAGTCGCTCCCCATTCCTGCTGCTGGTGTGGTTACTGCAGCCTCAGCGCTGCTTGCCTAGGCTATTGCAAGTTGTCTCCTTACCACTCGCTTCCCATTTCTTGTCTCTCCAATCCATTCTTTATACTTTGCCTGAAATTTCTTTCTGAACCAAAACATGCCGTAATCATTTCCCCACACATTCACACAGCCCATTGTCTGGAGAACAATTCAACCTTATTAAGACATTAGGGACTTCTATGACCATACTTCTCCAGCTAGGTTGTCTATTCTTCCTTTCCTGCATCCTGTGCTCCCTCCATAGGACTAACTGCAAATCTCCTTTAACGTCATGTCCTTTAATGCCATTCTTTAGCTAAAAACGTCTTTCTGGTTGTTTCTTTCCTCTCAAAATAGTGCTCATTCTTTCGGATACAAGATAAATACCATCTTGTCTGTGAAGACTCTCAGACCTAGAGGGCAAGTTAAGATTGGCCTAAAGGGGAGTTGTAGTATTCCAAGATAGAGAGCCAAAGTATGGAAAGAAACCTTGAAATGTCCCCTGGCATCTGGCAGGAGGCAGCCCTTGCTTTATATAGTCTTTCCCTCTTACTAGCCACTGGAGTGAACTGCACCGTAGAGGATATCTCATGGTTCTTCCAGTGGCTGCTGTTCAGGGTTCTCCTATCTTAGGGTTCGCCTCTGTTTCTGTTTCTTGAGCTCCTGTGGAGCCAGACACGGCCTGCACCCTCCCTACACTTTGTCTTGCATTTAGTCCAAGGCCTGCCTTCTGCTTTTATGTTTTCAGAATTGGCTCATGGTTGGATTTGTGTGCTAAAATACCTGTGTGTTGATTCCCCAGCCCCCCACGTAGCAACCCCTCACTCCTGACCAGTGTAACCCAATCTACTCCTTTCCACTGTCCTGCATACCCAGTGGTCTGTCCTGAGCCTGGGAAGCTCAAGCAGCTAAATAGCCACCACGTGTGTTAATAAATCAAACCTCATTTTAGAAGAAGTGTCTCTAAAGAACAGCCCTCTAAGAGACTGAGGACCTGAAAAACAGTGGGAGTGCAGAGGGGATGAAACAGTGGAACAGGACAGAATGTGGATAGACACTACAAGAGAAGATCAGGCAGAGACTAAAAGGGAGAGAGGCAAAGGGCAAAACAAGATTGGAAGGATGGCCAAGAAGCAAGGGTGAAAGCAGAGAAATGTTACAGAAAGGGAAAGAGAGAAGAAAATAGAGGCTAAAAAATAGTCTATATGGAGGTGAAAGGTGGGGTGAAGAAGAGTGAGAAATTTAGAGATTTTAGCATTCGGAGGGGAACCCAGGTGCTAAAAGTGGTGTAATAATAGTTGAATGGAGAGAAAATCAATCTACAGTACATACTTCTTTACAGATTCTATATTTGAGAATTCACTTGTTTGCTAAAATTTATTTGTTTTCCCCAGAGCAGTACTTTGAGGCTTTTACAGTCATTTGTGGACAAGCACAGAGAAATTTGAGTTGCAAAACGCGTGTTCACAGCTGAGGTCAAACAAAGTGATCCTCAGCCTTCTTGTTTCAGCTTTGTACTGAACAGTGTCCTTTTCATGGTATAGTGTATTGTTTTTGACTATTTTGTGCTTTTTTGCTGGTGATTCCCCATGTGAAGTGGCTTCCACACATGGTGTTGACGTTCTAGTTAGTGTCCCTGAGTACAAGAAGGTGTCTTGTAGGAATCATGGATGTGTTCAATAAGCTTCTTTTAGGCCTGAGTTAAAGAGCTGTTGCCAGCGTGTTCAGTTAATGAATTAACAATACACATTACATGCGGTATATTTCAACAGAAACCTACACCAAGCAGGGATAGGTAAGGATTAGTTGATGAAAAATGAGACCAGAGACTGATAGAAACCTAACCTTGTGTTCCTCCTAGGAGCAGTTGTCCAGTATTTTCTAAGCTTGTTGTTACCAACTTTATAGACCATAATAACTACCACAAATAACAGTAATAAACTACAGAAACATTTTTCATTACATGCGGTATATTTCAACAGAAACCTACACCAAGCAGGGATAGGTAAGGATTAGTTGATAAAAATGAGACCAGAGACTGATAGAAACCTAACCTTGTGTTTCTCCTAGGAGCAGTTGTCCAGTATTTTCTAAGCTTGTTGTTACCTACTTTATAGACCATAATAACTACCACAAATAACAGTAATAAACTACAGAAACATTTCATTTAAGCTAAAAAAGTGTCAGTGCATATGCATGTTTATATACCTCCTAGAATGAGAATCACTCCAAGGAAAACTGAAATTTTACAAATTTGACTTTGGAGACATTGTCCTCTTTTGTTTAGAACAAGATTCTAAACAAAATTCTTCTCTTTATAATTTTGTCAGTTTATCGGAGCAGAAATTTACTGGTGAATATGTTGCATTAATTAGAAATAGTTGAGTTAGACATAGTTTGTGTCCCTGAGAGTGCCCAATCTGCCATGGAAAGGAGGAGAGGGGAGTCAGTGGCATTTCATTAATTGTATTCTGAAGAGATATCAAACAGACAGAGTTAGGGGAGGTCCTGCCTACTTCTGAGCATCAAGGAACCCAGCCTGGGTGCACAAAGTAAGCATGGACTTTCCACAGACCAAATATCTACAGACTGCCAGTGAAGGTTGGAGTGCCAGGGACTTGCAGATAGTGAGTTCCTAGAGCCCGGCAAGACTCACATTTATACTTCTTTAGAGTAGTACTCCACTGGGTATAAAGGCCACATTTTCTTTATCATCTGCTGGTGTACATATATAGAGCACTTCTAAGATTTAGCTATTAGTAACTGGACTGAGTGGAATTTCTAAGTTTCAGTTCTTCGAGGAACGTCCATACTGATTTCCATATTGACTATACTAGTTTACATTCCCACTGACAATACAGAGGGGTTCCTTTTTTCCCTGCAGGTTTGCCAGCATTTTAAAATTTGATTTCTTGATGATAACCATTCTTTCTGGAGTAAGGTGGAGTCACAGTGTTGTGTTAATTTGTATCTCTCTAATAGCCAGAGATGTGGAACATTTTTTCCCATGTATTTATTAGCCATTTGTTTTTCTTCTTCTGAAAGTGTCTGATCATTTCAGTGGCCAAAGTTTTGATTGGGTCTTTTAGTTTCTTTTTTGGCGGGTTGTAACTTCAAAGTACTTAGAGAAAGTAATTAGTAATTATTTATGAAGATATTCACAACATGTTTTTCATAATATAAAAGTTGAGAGTCAAAGTAATTGTCTAAAATTATATTTGAGAGACCATTTAATGTTATAAAGACCTTCCTATAAGATGTCATATAAAAAAAATCACAAGGTAGTATAATCACAGTTTGCATAAATGGACCAGAGTATATATAAGCAGGAATTATCTTTTGTTAATGGACCCACAGGTGTTTCTTTTCCTTCTTTATTGTTTTGTTGTGCTGAATTTTTCAAATTGTCAAAATTGCCAAATATTTTTATAACCAGAAAAAATTAAATCTTATTTGGTTCCATTTTAATTAGAATTTACCTAAAGAAAGTCTTGACATTATTTTTTAAAAATTCTATTTAAAAAATGTCCCATCACTCATTTGGCTGAAAGTTAAAATGGAACCTCCATTACTTTGCATTTATTTTTGCAAACTATCATTTCTTTCATGAAGTTATTTCAGCTTAAACTTTGTACTTAGCTCTGTGTGATTTTGGCCTTTCTTTCTTCTTTTTTTGTTGTTGTCCTTTTTCCTCCTCTTTTTTAAAAATATGAATTCTGCCTGTTTTTTCTTTGGCAGCCCGACTGTCTCCTCCTTTTCTGTGGATATAGTATGTACTTTTCATTTGTTCAGATATTCACCCATGCCTCTTATTTATTTTAAACATTTTTTAAGGGCTAGGAAGTATTCATGAAATAATCTCTTCCAAATGTGAGAGCCTTAGTAGTATATTTGCATTAATTTTTAAGTGTTTATTCCCTTTGGGACTTCAAACTATTTTTCCATTATGTCAGGAACATGTGTGTATGCATGTGTTCATAGGTGTGTGTTCATATATGGACATACATATGAGTCCATATTTGTGTGCGTATATGTGAGTATGTGTGAATATGTGTTTTGGCATGCCCTGGTCAGGAATCGTGCCATTTCTTACATGCTCTGCAGAAACAGGTACTCAGTAGTACTAAGTGCTGCTTTGCCTGTCTCTGATTAACTCCTTCTTAGAGTTGGCCATCAGGGCCTCAGACTATAGTCACACGAGAGGAATACTCTAATCTGCTGTGGTACCAACAGGTTGGCATCATGCTTTAGAAGCTTTGATGAGGATAAAGCAAACTGAATTGGTTGTGTGGCCTCTCGATCTGCTACTTGGATGATTTAGAGACAGGCAGAATGAATTTTAATCTCTCTAAAGCCTTCATTTAACAAGAAAGATACATGTATGAGATAAGATGGTGGACCTCCAGTTACAGACAGTATATGTGAAATTGGACTGGACTGAAATAGCAACTTGAGAAAGAAGCTAACCATTAAAACCAAAGGATTCCTTGGGTTTCAAATCAAGGGCAGGATTTATAAGATGAACATTTGAAAGTTCACATTGAAATTCAAAGTAGATATTTGTAATTGAAGCACTATGCTTATTTTATTTTCATAAATCTAAAATCTAACTTTGAAGTTGGCTCTAGGGTATATCCATCAGCGCTGAGCCTTGAAAATTTGCCTGCTAAGTCAAACGTATGATGAAAAGCACAAGACAGATATGATGCAGCCTTGCAAAGTGCAAATACCCGTAGCTGTGCTGTTGAGTGTTCAGCTCCGTGTTGCACGATGTAGAAAAATGTACATTGATATGCTCTCTGTGATTGGAGGGCTCGTCTTTCTCCAGCCAGAGGACAGAGCTGTAGAGAAAAAGATAACCAGGAAGGTGAATGTTTCCTCTCAATGTAATTTTCCTAAACCCAAAGTCACATGAATGAAAAATGGGCTTTATTAAATTTGCTTGGCTGGAAACAAACATGCAAATTGTACAAGGTTCTTAGGCCAAAATGGGAGCGAGAGCCCCAGTGATACAGAGGGATGAATAATGCTAATGTTCGATAGTGGCCCTTGGCATTAATGATTGGCCTTTGGAAATACTGGGGCAAAGTTGGTCTTGTATCCATCCTAGAAATTTGTTCCGGCTGCTTCAATCTCTCCTTTCTAAGCCACCTTATAGCAAGTGCTTTTTTTTTTTTTTTTCCTTCTTCCCTTCCAGTTACCAACAGCCCCTTTCCCAAGGAATGCTACTTTCAGGAATGCTCAATCAAGCATGCTTTTGTGGAAATGTAAGATTGGTATTAATTTTATTAAGGTATTTGAATTTGGTTTTACTTTTTTATTTGGGACAAAATGTGTGTCTTCTGTAAGCAGGCGGATAAAGCATTTTATACTGTACTTTTGTGTAGGAAGAACAGACTCGGAGCACATCTGTTGGCAACCTGGTCTTCCAATACTACATGGCATTAAGAAACAAACAATAAACAGGAACTCCTTAGGTATTGTGAGTTTAGCATCTTGTTTAAAAGCATCCCTCCTCTGCTTCTTAGGATTATGAATTTTAATTTTTAAATAAGGGTGACTTCATTGACTTTAATGTCAAATAACATTGAAAAAGAAGATGAAAACTGTTGGAAAAGATGGTGGAAACAATTACATCCCAGGCTTGGAGCTTAGTGAAGGCGATCAACTGTCTTGCAGATTCAGACTGTGGTTAGGTCATTTTTCTTTGGCTTTCTGCTTCAGTGTGGAGGAGGCTGCTTTGTAACTTGATCTTTTTCATAGAGAGAATGAAACTGCCTGAGGGGCAGAATAGAGTATTGGCTAGGGATGAAATAGTCTCGGGGGCTGCCTCAAATAGATGAGCAGAACTGCTTTTTAAAAAAACATCTTTTACATGTCATACTAAGAATCTATACCACAAAAGACCTAAAAAAACCTGAAAGAACCAGAGAGGCTGGAGTGCTTATACAAAAGCAATATGCAAGATCACAGAAGTGGAAAAAATGTATAAATTAGACGTATTAAAGCTTTCTTAAGTTGCAAGGGAGCTTTTGATAATATAATCAAAACAAATAAGAAAGTTATCAGAAAATTTAATAGTCCTCAGGGGATTGTAGAAGGCTATGGAAAATGGTTTAATACCATCAAAATATCATTGGAATGTTCTTATTCCCTTGACCTCTCATTTGTTTAAACGTTACCTTTAGAAGGTCTTACATGATCCACTCAACCTGCTGACTTAAATTTAGTCTTCTGAACTCTAGTAAACTATTGTCCATTTTGTAGATGTCCCCTTCGATTGCTCATTGTGTGTCCTGGCACTCTGACCAGGCTTTAAGCATACCGATGTTAAGAAACATGTAAGGGGAAAAAATGAGAATCAAGACTTGTCATGTAGAGGTACAAGATCCCAACAATGAATGTAACTGTACTGTATCCCTAGAATGTACCAATAAACTCAATTAAAGCTGAAAAAAAAAAGAAACATGTCTTTTCGGTTTCCTCTCTATATTCAGTATAATCATTGTGCTTTCAGGTGGTTTTCAACAGATAATTCCTGGCTCACAGGATGCTTCCAGTTAAAAAGACACGTTAATGGGAAGATCCTCAACTATGCTGATATTATTAATTTTTATATGTTTTGTTCTGAAAAACCCATGCAAGCCTACATAAAGCAAAAGCAGGAGAAAGAAGTTATAGCTATAATAGTGAGAATGTACAAGGCATTTCACTGTTTTGACAGGATGAATAAAGATGATGAGAGCAATAATGATACCATCTCCTTGCATTTCAATAGATTCTTCATTCTGTGGAAGACATTTTCATATAACCAAGAACCTGGTAGTGGGTAAAGGTAGAAGTAGAAATAAATGCAAAGAAGTATAGATATAAAAAGGCAAATGTTCCAAAGAAAATAATAGTCAAAAATGAAGCAATGGAAGGGGAATTTACTAATAACTTGGAGCAATTATTAGCTAAGTAGCACATTGGACAGAGTATCAAATAAATACAGCGTTGGTGTTCTTTTAGCTGCCTATAGATCATGTTATGTTTTGATTTGTTTTCTTTCAGGTAAGTAGAAGAGAGAATGTACTTGATCCTCTAACTCTCTCTCTTCCACTTTCATTCATTCATTCACTAGGGTTGATATTGGTATTGCTATATCTTTATTCCAGACATTTCATTTCACATGGTCAAAAAGGATACCAAAGTGTAGGTGATACTCAACGTTAGCAGCATTTGAATAGTTTCACAAAAGCTCAGGGAGGCAGAGAGCTGCACTGTATTTTGCTGTAGTAAGGTTCTGAAAACATCCTAACTGGAGGAGGCAGGTCTAAAATTATTGGTGCTGGTAGTAATTTATTTTAAAGAAGTTTTAAAAGGAACATCCCAATGGTATTATAGAATTGATATTAAACCTGGAATTGAACAAAAATGCAGATAAAAATATTCTCCCTGACCTGTGTCTGAGTGTACCAAACGTCCTACTCACTACGTTACTGTTTACGAGGGATGAGGTGCATATTCAAACTGACCTGTGAACTGCTGGCCTTCACCTAGCACCTTTTCTGGGAGTGGCAAACTTCTCTTACTTTTGGATCTGTTTTGTTCAGAAATGACAATCACTTTAGTTGGAGAAAAGATGAACCACTCTGAAATGTCAGGATTAGTAAATTTTTGAATGCAGGTCAGAAAAAAGATCTGAGTGATGGTTAAAACTAATCAAATTCTTGGAAGATTTTCGCCTTCTCCAAATGAGGAGAGAGATTCTCTTGAATTAAATTGTATCTGTTGAGAACAATATTGTAGAGGCAGAGTTTTAATTTAACTGGCTTTTGAAAGCATGAATCAAGTATTTTCAAGATTCAGAGATCAGTAACTCTTGTTTTGCCATTAGTGTATTTTCCACACTGAGTTTTAAAGCAGTTTAGAGAGCTCTGTCCTTTGCAAATTTGAGACCTGTGTTCAGCCCTCACTCTGACATTCTAGGGAATATAGAACAGTCTGAATTATTTAATCTCATTCAGCCTCAGTTGTTTCATCTGTGAGAGGGGATAATGATTTCAGCCTTGCTACATAGTAATAGTGATAATTTCCATTTCTAAATGTCTGCTGTATGTCAAATATTTGCTGTTCCTTTGGCATATGTTATCTTTAAGTCTCATCCTGCATTGGAAGAAATATTTTACAGTTGAGAAAGCTGAGGCTCAGTTTATGTCAGTAAGTTGCCGAGTCACAGAGCTAACCAGTAACAAAGCCAGGATATGTCCATGAAGTCCCTGCTGTGTCCTCCATGGAAATTTGAGGGTTATTTATTTTCATTTTGTTTATTGGTAGATTTTAGGTGTACAATATGCTTGGTTCTTATTTTTTCCCCATTCCCCTCCTCCCCACCCCTCCCTATTTACAAAGACTTTGTTTCCATTTTTTCCTTTTCTTATATTTTTTTCCTTTCCCTTCTTTCCTTTCCCCCACATTGTGAGGAAGTATTTTGAAAATGGCAAACTTCTCTGTAAATGCCTCTATTATCACCCTGATGGATATAAATTAGCATATACTTACAGAATTCTTATGAGTACAGTGGTACCTCGGTTTGTGAACTTGGTTCTTTTCATGGTGGCAAACTGAGTTGGATGAAAATTGAATCACATTCATTGGTTAGGTTCAATGTTGACCATATGAGGAATTTGATTTAGTTTTGGTACAGTTCGGTTTGCAACCAGAATCCTGGGGAGAATTGACTTCATTAGTACTGAATACTGTCTCAGATTTTTATTTATTTATTTTTGGTACTGGCAATTGAACTTGGGACCTTGTGCTTTTGAGGTAGGTAGTGGAACCACTGAGCTAAATCCCCAGCGCACTGTCTCATATTTTATTTGGGATTATCTATGACATTAGGTATTTTTCTAATGTAGTACTGTATAAGGCATAGTAATAAATATTAAATATTTCTAAGTGGGAATCTCCTCCATTCTTGGGGTCAGGTATTAGTTCCTTTTAGATCATATTATTGGAGAGAAAAACAAGGAAGCAAATTTACTAATCAAAAGTAAATGAATGCTTCAAGACAAAAAAAGTGATTTTATGTAATCCAATCCCCCAAATCAGCCAATAACACCTTAAAAATCATGAAGACTCTTAGGATAACTTCAAGGGAGATGAGGTAAACATAGTCCAGGATGTTAGCATATCTCTGCTATAAATCCATGCGTTCACAAATCCTTGGGACCAGCAACAGTTTAACCTCTATTTAGTTCTTTGCTGTTTATTTTTAGTCTATAATGATCAAAGGGTTGGCAAAACTTATTGGAAGAGTTTATCCTTGGTCAGAGATAGAAGACTTCCAGTGAAAAGATGGGTGGGAATGTACACAACTCTCCTAAAATAAGCATCAAATTTTGGAAAGCATTTTCTCTTGGGAGAAAGATCCTATTTCCAAAGAGAGAATCAGAATAAGAACCCCTGCCCCCATCTCCAAGAAAGAAGCTAAGGTGAATCAATCCATCAAAAAGACAAGAATTAGTCTTAATGACAGGTTGACATTCAAAACAGATTTTTCCTTTGGTCTTTTGGAAGAATTGCTAATATCACAGTGAAAGTTCATGAAATCTTGAGGAGTTAACTGAGCCCACAAGTGAGCTGACCCTGTGTCTTCTATTTCCTTATGTACAAGGATGAGGTGGTATAATGCATGTGCACAAACCAGTCCCTGCTATCTTAATTCTAGATCATTTTCCTAAATATGCTTTCCCATTTCTTTAAATTTCAGTGTGAACTGTTTCTTCTGTTAGCCCGTGTGGATATCTTGGGAATGTAGAAAAAATACTTTCGTATTAAGAAAAGATGCTTGCCAGAGACTGTTTATCCAGGCTTAACCACCCAAGTTGGGTGGAATATTGCCTTTGGGTAATATTTGGATAAGAGCTTCCTGATGGAACTTACTTGAATATTGCAGAGTGGGAAGAGATAACACCATTCGATACCTGACTGGTTGCTTGTCTTTGGTCACCTCCGTGGGATGAATGTGGGTCTGCTCATTCACACATTTTTTTTTGTACTTGTGAGACTGGATAATGTAACCCTTGTCTAGTTCTCCTGTCAAGGATTTGGTCACCTTTGGATCTCTGCTAGACTAAGGCAGGGGCCCATTTGGGTGGACAGGATACATGGCCAGGGTAGAACTGGAACAGACAGGGTAAAATAAACAAAGCTAATTATGGAAGTGATATTTGCGAGAAGAAAAGCTAGATGCTTGCCTTGCTTTTGCATTGGTCCATATTCTTTCTTAAGTAGAACAAGAAGGCAGCCTAACATTATCCCTGAAGCTTCATGCCCATAGCCACTCAGAACCATGCCAAGCCTTAGAAGCCAAAATGTTGGCCATCCCTAAGGCTTAGCACCATTTACCTAAATTCCTGAGCATGGTGTGAGAGTATTTTTAAAACCTGGGCACATTGAGAGGGAGAATAAATGTTCTAAGCTCTGTGGCCTCCACTTGGACTCTGCTTTACTTCTTCCCAGGATGCTCTAGTGCAGTGATTGTGAACCTCTGAGAGCTTTCAGTGATAACAAATAGACAACTGCAGGACATATGCCATAGGTTTGCCACCATTGCTCTAGTGGAATGAGTTCTGTTCAGGGCCTCTGTGGACTACTGGTTACAAGCTGATTTCATACAAGTTGCTTTATGTCTGTGGGCTTCATTGTCCTCCTCTGAGAGAGGTTCTTCCCAGGATGCTCTAGTGCAGTGATTGTGAACCTCTGAGAGCTTTCAGTGATAACAAATAGCCCACTGCAGGACATATGCCATAGGTTTGCCACCATTGCTCTAGTGGAATGAGTTCTGTTCAGGACCTCTGTGGACTACTGGTTACCAGCTGATTTCATACAAGTTGCTTTATGTCTGTGGGCTTCATTGTCCTCCTCTGAGAGAGGGCATCTTTAAGCAGGGTATCAGCACAAACAATCTACAATTCTTTGTGGCCTACTTCTGCCTGGGGAATAAAAATATGGGTATGTGTCTGTGTCTTCTTTGCTCCCTCCAATGTCCCTGTTCTGGGGCTTTTCCTCCAAATTGTTCTTGGCCCCTCTTCTGCTATCCAGATTTTTCTGTAGAAGGACAAGATTAAGTTTGAATGAATCATTGTTTATTGTAAAATAAACAACAGCTGATAAAGTCAAGGGATGACCTATTTCTGAAGCACACTACCAAGAAGTTTATGCCTTTCTGTTCTCTAGACTTAACCAGTTTTTCTTCTTGTAACATATTTTATGAAACTTGACTAATCACCTGGCAATATGTTGCTGAAGTTTTCTTGGCTGTAGATCAAAGTCCCCAACACACTAGCATGTCAGCTTTACAGAGCCCAGACAATGAGAAAACAGCACAGGGTGAGAGCAAGCACTTGCAGTTTTGGAGTCACACTCTGTAGAAAGATAGGAAGAGAACAGGGATAACTAATTTCTGGAAGATTTACAAATGACTGATTTATAGGAAAAAAATGGCTGAACTCCTTAATGATCAAATAAATGCAATAAAAAATAACAATGCTCTCATTTCCATCCTATCATTTTGGCATCTGGCATGAATGTGAGTTTGAGGAAATATACATGCTAATATTGCTGGCTACCTGGTACAACCTTCTGCCTTGCAGTTGGGTGCTAAATACAGAAATGTAAAATGTATACTTTCTTTGCCCAGCAATTTTCAGTCTAGGATTTGTCCTAAGGAGGTAACTACCCGATGCAAAAAATACACTTATAAGTATGTTTGTAAAAGTATATCATGGGGGAAAACTGGAACCACATCAATGTTTATCTATAGAAGACTGGCATAGTAAATTATGATAAATACCTACCTTGAAGTCTCATGTAGTCAATGAAAATGACACTGTAGCACTTCATATATTGACATAGAAAATTACTTGTTGATACAAGACAGGTTGTTAGAATTATTATATTCACAAGAAGTTATATTAATAGAAATGTGAGAGGTTGTTCATTTAAATTTTAACAGGAAGGCTGAGGCTACTTTTGCTTCTTTTCCAATTTATCTCCCAGTTATGCCCCACTCTGCATCCTTAGGGAAAAATGTATTTAAACTTCTTACTCCTGGGCAAGATGGGGATAATAATATTCAGCCTCTTAGAGGTTACTGTGAGAATCAAGCAATGAAACACATGTCAAGCACTGGGATGGAGAAAAGTTCTTTGATATGTTTTTATTCAGAGTTTCCATTTCCCTTTCATTATATGAGTCTGGGCAATTGTGTTCTTATAACCAAGATTCATAGAGAATGAGCTAAGTGGGCTTTGAATAGCTTTCATTTATTTTAATGCAGGAAGAGCCCCAGTTCCAAATATGTGGAACAGTATTTTCCTAAGGCTGCTGTCTGTCAGAAAATGGCCATATTGAGTCATTGTTTTCTGAAGCCAAAAGAGGAGATTGAGTGACTGGTACTGATGGGCAGCCTAAAATAATATCTCATTCTTGTCATCCTTAGGCAATTTAAGACGAAGTAATTTTGGATAGAGGTGCAGTTTCCCTCTTGGTTTGGAGAAACAAAGCCTTGGTTATTTATTCTCTTAAACAACAGAGTTTTGTGCTATGCTCAGGAGCATGCAAACCAAACAGAAGACTTCCTGAAGGGCCATCCCATTTATTATGTGGCCCGATTCCAAGAAGTAAGTAGATCCACGAAGCTCCAGCCACCTGCAGAGGGCTCACATCATGGGTGCAGGGAGACAGCCAAGATTAATAGGAGCACAACAGCCGGTCAGGTTTGGGTTCCAGTTTTCAGTTATTGTGCTAAAGTCGGTGGACTCAGGCACTTTGAAACTCCCTCTTTGCTTGTGGCCCACTTTATTCTGCAAAACAAACAAACTCACCTCATTTTTGCTTTCCATGTGTGAGGAAATAAAAATAGCAATATCTTGATTATGTTTTACTTTGGATATTTCTGGTCCATGGACAATTCTTTCAAATATTCTTGCATAATCTTTTAGAGCTGTGGCCACGTGGAATAAGAGATAGTTGCCACTCAAGAGTTTTCATTAATGGTTAAAGGATCATTAGAAGACCACAGTTAGCTTGTCTTTCTTCTGTATTCCTCTTCTCATTTCTCTTTCCTACACTAAAACAACTTCTATGTTGTTACCCTACAGCTACATACATACTTTTCATTAGCAGGAGGTCAAGTGCAAGTTGAATATATGAAGTTGGGATTGCTTCTGATTCTTAATAATTATAACTAGTAAGTGCTGAGAACTTGTCATCCTGTAGAGTTTGTGCTAAGTGCTCTATCACTGCTTTGATGTTTCTTGAGTAGTCCACAGAGACCAGCTTTACAAGCAAAGTTGGGGAGTTGGAAATGAAAATGCAGATTCTAGACTCATCAATCAGCATCTTGTAGTGGGAGCCAGGGATCTAGCCTTTTAACAAACACCTTGGGTCAACCTATGCTCATAAAATTCAAGGGCCACTGTATTATCTTATAGTGTACACGTGACTCAACTGTAATCCACTTTTCTTTCCATTCTTCAGATTTATATGCTTAAAGTCTTATGGCAGATACATAAATATCCTATGGAGTATGAGACACGGAGTACCTATATCTCTTTGAGACACTGATAGTTGCAAATGTGTCCATAGTCCAGTTGCGGCCTGTGCAGTATTTAATTCTATTGAGGGAGGGTTGAATAAGAAAAACTAATTTCTTGACTGGCGCAGGCCTGCATTCTGGATGTAGAGAGAAGACCTAGGGACAGTGGGGTGCTGGTACAAGTTCTAGGAACATGAGTGGCAGCCCGTGACATTCTCGGTACAGAGCTGTGCATACAGGGCAGAATCGCTGCTGAGAGAGGGTAGCCGATGCAGTGGTGTGATTACCAGGCCCAGAAAACCCCTGTCTGTCTTCTACATGACTCCATTGTTATGCACCTGGGGGCCTGAAATATCTACTGCTGTTTCTTTCTTTGGTCCTCAGCTTTATTTCTAGAAAGCCCCTGTTAAAATAAAATGCCACTTTGGAAGGAAGCAGGAGCATTTAATTATATTCTCATAGACTGGCTTAATCAGCTGCTCTGGGAATGGCACACAAGAGAACTCATTTGAGACTAGGAAAGGATAGTCCCAGTGGTCTTTGTGGGGCACTGTGGAGGGAGAAGCTAGGAAGCATAGGAGGACTGTTTAGGAGACTAGAGAGAACCAGAGGGAAAGGCTAAAGTCAAATTGGACCCATTTCTCAACTCTGAGGGTAACTATATTAATCAGCTTTGTGCCATTGTAACAGAGTACTGACAATAGGATACTTAGGAAGGAAGGAAAGGTTACTTTGGTTCATGGCTTTGAAGGTTCAAGCCCAAGATTGGATAATGCCATTGGTTTGAGCCTCTGATGATGATGGCACATCATGATGAGTGTGTGGCAGAACAAACTGCTTACATCACTGGCCAGCAAGTGAGAAGAGACGATGGACCAGAGTCCCATAATTCCCTCAGGGGAATCTCTCCAAAGATCTAAGGACCTTCCATTCAGCCCTACCTTCCAAAGTCCATAGTGCCTCCTAACATCACCACCCTGGGGATTAGGCCTTTATATAAAGGCCTTTCCAAATCATAGCAGTTACTCTCCAGAATGCCTAGTTCTTAATAATTTCTAGGCCCTGCCCATGCTCTTTTCCTCCCATGAATATCAAGTGCCGAGTAACTGTCCCTTTGGTCACAGCACTGGACTGTAGCAATGCTGCAGGTGGTGATACTTTGGTGACATGAATGGGTTCTGGAAGGGAGGCTTCATGTTGGCCTCTGTAGCTGAACCAATGGAAGGGGCCTGGGGAGGCAATTACTAACTTCTGTGTCTTAGATACCCTCTCTCTCAGTGCCGTCTTTTGCCAGGAGCAGAATAATGAGAATAAATGAAACTTAGATAATTCAGCTGTTTGCCTGGCCCCACACAGAACTTTCAAATATGTGATTATTTCTAGCAACCATAGTGGGGCTTTACTGCATTTCTTTCTTTCTTTTTTTTCTCCTGGTATTGGAGATCGAACTCAGGACCTCATGCTTAGGACCTAACCACTGAACTAAATCCGAGTCCCCATTGCTGCATTTCTTTTTCAACTTGAGAAAGACCAGAGATGATTCTCTAACAAAGAGTTTGTCTGCAGGTCTCCTAGGCCTTGATATTTGATTTTATCATAATTCTGACTTTGCCCTATATTTCATCATTGAAGCTTCCCCCCCGCAAACAGAAAATTTCCTCTAGTTTTCTGAATGTTTATTTGTTCTTTAGTGCTAATTTATATGGTGGGTGACACTGATTCAAATAGTTCACTCTGGGTAGAGTGACCATCCTCTGGAAGAGAAGGTGGGCAGGAAGATCACCGTCCTTGAACTTGCTGGTGGGTGCTGAAGGTGGGCATAGAGATAATGGGCTGCACTTGCAGAAGCATGAACTGAAAGTAGAACTCTCAGGAGCTAGAAGCAGGTAGATGGGGCTGGTGGATGTTTGTGTGAGAGTGGAGGGAGATGAGGAAGACAATTCAAGAGTGAATGAGTGTAAATGTCCATACTTCTCCCTTAGGGTGGCCATTCCTTGACCAGGAAGACTGTTGTTTTCTCTTCCCATTCTTAGTAAATATATCTACATCTTGGCTAATATTCTGTTCTGCAGAATCCCTTATCAGTGGGAAGAAAGGACATAATTAGCTTCGGCGTGCTTTCATATTTAGTTGGGAATTCATCATGAATTCTAGACCTAGTTCATATATTCTGGGTAATCTATACAGCTGTTCATGAGAAGTAACCCTCTATCCCCTTCAAATATCTTTTGATTAGGGTACTGTGAATAAAGATTAATGACATCCCTTTTCCCCCATTTGTGCCAGAATTATTAATTAGCTTGAACTTTGGATCCTTTATCACATGGATCATGTCTACTATGATTACTCCTTTTGTATCATGTCCTTGCTAAGTGTTCTTGCGTGACGCACTAAGTGTAGGGCAGAGTTGTGTCAAGTGATAACCATGTGGAAGACTGACAATTAACAAATGTGACCTATTCACCTCAGTGTGCTGTCATCTGAGGCTACCAGACAAGACTCACTTGTAAATATTACCTGAAATGCAGTATGTGATGACAGGAGCTAACATTTAACCACATCTGGTTATTCAACAATTCATCCTAATTTTTAATATTGTATACTGTTTTTTGGTAATTAGCTTAAAAATAATAACAACAAAGATGACAATTTTCTTTTAGTGAATGCTCACCATGTAGTACAATAATAGGCTCAGGTCTGGCATCCTTTGCCTGTTTAGTCTTTAAACCAGCCTGACTATGCATGACACTATTTTGCATATGAGGAACTGAGGTCCTACACTTAAGGGTCAGAGCTGGGATTTGAACCCAGGTAGTCTGGCTCTAGAGTTTATGCCCTTAACATCCCATTATCCTTCTTTACAGATTGCTGGACACAGAGATAGTTTTAGCATCAAATAATAGGAATGGATGCCCTAAATCCTTATTAAACATAAATAATTTAATTTAAGTTGAAACATTTTTGCTAAAGTGAGGCAGGCCTTCTTGTTTTTCCAAGCAAGTAGTTTTCTTTCAGCTTATACTGTGAGGTGCTGACTCCCAGTGTTAGCCTGGGAACTGTCGGCTCTTTCCTACAAGGGAATGATACTGAGGTATGGGGTTTCTTTAGGCAGCATTATGCATTGTGAAAACACTGGGCCAGTTTATCCATGTCACCGGGAATGGAATTTCTGTCAACCTTAATTTGTGAGACATATTGATATGGTAGTCTGAACATTTCTGATTTTTTTCTCATGAGTGATTTCTTTAGCTTACATAAATTACAGGGCCAGATAAATTAGCTTATGGGCCCAGAACTCATTCTAGGCCCAAGTTTTGAGACAGTTTTTGGTGAACTATAGCTGCTCTGACACTTGTGATTCACTCACAGCTCTTGTTTCAGGAAAAGGTTTACATTCCTGAGGTGGCTTTCTGTTATCAGGATCATCTTCATTCTTGTCTGTGGGGGTGGAGATCAAGGACCTATGAGCACGAATCGAACTCAGCTGTGTGGATGATTCTTGGAAATAATAAACTTCTTAGTGCCTGATGCAATAGCTAACAGGTATTAATTGATACAGATGACAGGAAATGCTCTTTGTAGTTAATATGAGTCCTGAGGAATTAGCCATGATGCCTGCTATAGCAGACTCTGACATAACGCATGAACAGTTTTAGGCAAAAGAAGATTATAGAGTTGAGATATATATTTTTAGTTTCCTATTCTGCATTGTTTTCATTCAGGTAAAAGAAACAGATGTAAACAGCATAACAGGCTCAGGTTGGTCCATACTTCATACTGAGACATTGCTTTGTGTTTCAGGGTGAGTCTCTCCACAGTGTAACTAAATATTAAATCCCAAGAAAAATACCAAATCACAGTCACATGTCTCAGGTTATCAGGATGATTATGATTCTAGCAAGGGCAGGCAATATTGGTCTTCTAGAAAGCTTTCATCATGAATGTGTTTTGGGCTGAACATTTCTTAGTAAAAGCTGAACAGCTTGAAGTTGATTCAAACAAGGCTTTTTCAGTAATTAACTCAGTTATGCCTACACGGAGAATGGGCAAAGGCTGTGAAAGCTTCAACACCAAGACTAACTGTGTAGTTGTTGACCATTGTCTGGGCAGTGAAAGAGTCTTATTCAGGGTCGGGGGAGGGGAGGCCTTCCTATGAGAAATTTCTGGATCAGCATGCCTCCAGTTTAGAGTATGCTCAGCCTAGTTTATTGAAAATAGAGATTTGACATGAAAGTTCCAGGGGATTTTAATGGAATTTTGGTAAGAGTGTGAAAAGTACAGGTTCCATGTTGAGGATCCAAGGACAATATTATGTTAAGGGACTGATTTCCATTAAAGGGTAAATAATCTTTTTTCTTTTTCTTTTTGGTACCAGGGATTGAGCTTGAGACCTTGTGCTTGAGAGGCAGGTGGTGGAACCACTGAGCTAAATCCCCGGCCCTCTAAATAAATCTATTTTTGAGCGAAGGGGACAACAATGCTAATAACTTTGCTTTCTCAGAAATTTCCATTCTCACATGGTCTCCATAGGCAGCAGCACTGTCAGATAAACAAAGTTTAATTAAATAAAAAACATGTAAAGAGAACAGAAATATTCTTCCTTGGCTAATCAAAATTAGACAATTCAAAAAAACAAAGCTTGGCAGGAAACTGCCAACGGATTATTTTTTCTGATCTCAGTGTACTGCTGTTTTTCTTCCTGGTGTCATATCTCAAGTTCAACTCAGTCAATTATCTACAGCAAACAAAATGTGCATAAATGTCTCTTCTCTTACTGTTGTTTATATTTTACCAGTAACTGAAGATTATTTTCCTTCTCAGCTTTTTCCTTTGGGAGCTTATAAATCCAACAACACAAGTTGAATATTGTATAACTTCTGTTGTCACTTTGAAAGCAAAATGATTGATTTAGTTATTTAAAAGTTTACTGCAAAGATTTTTTTCGCTGCTAACGCTACCAAATATGTTAAAGAAACAATATGCTGAGGATTTGTCACTAGATTAAGTATGTTAAAGGTGTGGTGTTGGGGGGTTGCTATTGAATAGTATTTTCCAAAGATCCTTTAATAACTATAAATTTAGAAGTATGGTGTAACAGATAGCTGGCAGAACTAAAACTGTAGTGGAACTAAGGCAGATAATACAGAGAAAAGTAAAACGTGTGTTCGAAGAATCATCGGCTCTCTTGTGATTCTGAGGATTCTTTCCCAACCCTCCCATGCTGGAATGTTTCCATGTGGCCTTAGTGCCCTTGGCCAGGGGAACTGGGCAGTAACCCACCTTCCCAGTTACTCTCTAAGCGTAGTGATTTCTCTCAGATGTGGAAAGTGGTGGTTTTTGTTTCTGAAGCCCTTCTCTCCACTCCTTGTCAGCCCCATTTACTCTGTTTCGGTGATTGGCTATGAGGCTGCCCATCTGGAAAGGTAGCTTTAAAGCTGTCCTGGAAAATGATCTATTTTACTCAGCAGATGATCTTGTTAGTTTCGAGTTTCTTTCTTTCTACTCACACTTAATAACAAACGATCCTGCAAAAGCGTGGAACATAGAAAAGAAAAAATAAAATAGAAGCCTGTTTATTTGCCCAAGCAACTAATGTGTATTATTTTCACTTAGCATTACTCCTACTAAAAATAAAAAGGAGGATGAAAATTACCTCAGGTTTTGCTGCTTGTGGCTGCCTCTTGGATTTCTGAGGAGGCTCAGGTCCTTTCACACTGCACTGTTGGGACCATCAAGCCAGAGGATCATTCTTGCTCCAGGTTTAGATATGTTTTGCCAGATTACCTGTCTTTCCCTCAGATAATGAAGCTGCGATTTTCTCTGGCCTTTCCAGCCAGAGTGATTCCAGATAAGCAGATTATTGTGTGGAATATATCGTCTATGCCGCTCCAGTGCAGCCCTTTCAGCTTTCCAGAGCCAGTTAGACTTGTTATAAGGAGCAAACTGATTGGCTGGATCCAGGCTCGGTTTCATAGATTATAGCCCGGCAGCTGAGAAGCACGAGCCCTATAGTTGCTTTAGTCAGAGGCCTGGCAGTTCCTGTCTTAATGAATATGTAGTTATAACTGAGTTCTAGCACGGCCTTGGATGTTTCTGTCCTAAATAGCTGACATTGCATCTTCAAGACTGTGTGAGTAATCCTAACTTTTTTCTTTTAAAGCTCAGTAAATTAATTACATACCCTGGGAGGGAGTGGTTGTAAGAAGAAAATACTGAACTAGCAGATGGTTCGTTTTCAAGGTGCTTTTCTATATGTATCAAGTTCATTGGAATGAATCTCAAAGCTTCTAGGACCTGGCAGAGTTATTTCAGTATTTTGCTAGTCCAGCTGCCTTTTGAAGGAGGTTGCTCCCTGAGTTTGCTTGGCCTGTTTGTTTTATGGGGTCTATAAAGTGATAAAGGTCCAAAACGAGCAGGTTGAAACAGCATGTGGATGCCAAAACACAGGTGAGAGAGCACTTGAGTCAGGCAAGTTTCAAAGTTTCCCACCCCGGTGTCCAAAGCTGGGAGAGAGGAGCTAGAAGCAAGTGATAAGGAGTCCTCCCAGGACCCAGGTTCATAGCAATCAGCCCACAGAAGAAGAAAAAATGTGAAAGGATGGTGGCAGGACTCTGTAATCTGAAGCTAATTTGAGACATTACACTATGAATAACTGAAAAGATGTATATGTACGAAAATTGTTCTTCAGTGGTTCTATTTCTGTGGTAAAGAGCTGAATGGGAAACCACAAAGTTGTTTTGAGAAATCTTATAAGAAGTATATTAAAAATGCACAGATAAACAACCGTAATGGAAGAGAAGTGCGTGGACTGGAATTTGTGGTCAGAGCAGATCAAATTATCCCTGTTGTTAGGTTTATGTAATTGCTGGGGGTAACTTCTGTGACTAACAAGGCTTAGAATAAAGCTAGATGACAAACTAGAAAATACCAGCATTTTATTATCTTCCATATCTTTTACTGGCAGAATTATTACGGAGTGTAAGTTGGTCAATGTAAGCAGACCATGCTTTGCTTTTAAATCATTATTGATTTCTCCTAGCCTGTCATAAAAAAAATAATAGAGCTGTTGCCTATGAACTTAGAGCATAGAAATACTTTTTTATCCTCCCAAATAGTTTTTGTATTTTTTTCCTCAAGACAGTACACAGCCAGGCCATTTCTTATATTTTTGTGTTTTCAGGTTGTGTTTTATTTAATGTTTTCCTCATCAGACTTCCAGATTCAAAGGTATAGACTTGTGCTACATAAAAGCCTCAGGCACAAATCATTTGAACATTTTTAAAATCATGGGTTCCTGTGGCAAATATAAATTTCTAATAACTATAGTCACTGCTTGCCAATTCCTATAAAAATACATTAATAGATTCAAAGCAGTTTATTTTTGGTTGTACCTATTTATATGACTGACATGATTTAGCCAATAGGATGGAAATATTAGTTGTATTTTTGCAAAACTATATCTTTAGATCACACTGGGAATGCAAAGTCTTATTGTTAAAAATATTTTTTCCTTCTGAAATATGACTCATTTTACACCAGCACATGAAGTTCATAAAAAGAGAGAGATGTTATCAGCAGAGTCCTTCTATGTATCAACCAAATATTCATAAAAGCCTTCACAAAATCTAAGCATAATGTATTCTTTCAGAAACACATTTGCTTTCCAAAAAAATATGGTGAGTTCCTTTATTGAGACAGAATAGTGGGTTCACTTGCTTGGTTTCCATGGCCATAGGTGCTAGCTAATAGTGATGGCGGATTCATCCTTAATTATGATTTCTCTCTGCATTAGTAGAAGAACATGACTCTTCTATGAAGGAAGCACGATCTCCTTTGTTTGGTGGTTATGGCCCCCAGGAGGAGGAAGTTGTGGGATAGAAGCGGCCTTATCTGAGCTGGCTTTTAACTCAGCCCCCCTTCTTTTCCTAAGGGCAATGCAGCTCTCTTACTGGAGCTTTTGCATTCCTTCCTACCTTTTCCTGCCTTCGTTTCTTTACACCATCTGATTTGGGTTTTCATTGAGATGAATAAAATACAAAAGACTTAAATTTAATTTTTGAACATTATTCAGCTGTCTATAGAATTCAGATGGTCAGGAGGTGGGTGGTTCTGGTGGGTCTATACTCCTAGGGATGTTTCCATCAGTGCTTCTGGGAGGTCCTTTGTCTCTTCCATTCTCCTGAAGATGCCAGGATCACACGTCTTTCCTATGCAAGGACAAAATATTAAGAAAAGGAGTCTGGGGGGCCTCAGGAGTCCAGAGGATGGGTTGTGAGATGTGGGAAAACCAAAATATCGCTAAAACAGCAATAGGTGATCCTTCTTCTCTCTCTTCCTCTCTACTTTCCTACGTCATTTTTGTGTGATTGTGTAAATTCTTTTGTAGCTAAGCTTCAGTAAAACTATGCATATCTGCTATAGACAGATGGATTTGACAAAAGATGTATCCAAGAAGGAGTGTATTACATCATGAAGTGTTGCTAAGCATTCATAAATACACAGTAGCATTTGGAAACTATTAACACTACTAACAAATACAGTGACATAAATCTAAATTAAAAAAATACTATTTTTCAATTACATTTTCCAGTTAAAAATTTGTTTTCGGAAAAGCTTGCTCTTTCTTAAGACATTTTTCTTGAGTTAAATATAGGATTGATCTGATTGCTTAAATTTTCCTGAGAATTTATCTTGTCAGTGTTTTCTGAAGAATTGCTCTCCCTCCTTGAGCATGGTTTAAAGGAAGCAAAGCAAAACAAATGAAACTAATGTTCCCCCTTGGCCAAGCAGAAACACCACACAAGAGTTAAGTGCTTTCAATTTGTATCGTTCCTGCCATACTAGTGCAGAAGGAGTGTTCATTTAATTGCAAGATAACCACTTATTTTGCCTTACTTATATAATGTCAGCAGATGATATAATGTCACGTTATATTGCTCACCAGTAAAAATTGTGTTCTTCTGATTTCTGATTTCATGAAGCAGAGCATCTTAATGAACCATTTTGGCCATCAGTGGGATCATCCTCAGGTCATGGAATATTTCTCAGCCTTGGGGTATGGCTGTTCTGTGGTGAAAGTAATGGTAAAAATTCTGATATTTGACTGGCTTAGATAACAGCATGACAACAAGTGTTTGTAAGAAGATTTTAATATGTCATTTTTAATGTGCTACACACATGATGCATAATTATTTTTGTAGCAACTCACACCAGGGTTAGCATCCTTTACTTCTAAAATCATATTCTCAGAAATGAGGAATACTTTTAGAGCACAGCAAGTCTTCACTGCTTAGTCTTGAAAAGGCATGAAAGCTTATGGAGTCCCTGTCTTTATCTATTACTTGAATATTAATACCATTAGATTTACTGTGATGAATAAATGTGTTATATTTGCAAATGCATTTAGTTAACTTCTAAGTACCGTATAAATGTCATTTATTGCAGCTATTATCAATATTTTAATAATATGCATTTATATTTTATTAATTTTTAAATGGAAATATCAGATATATTTCAATTTAATTTTCTAAGCTACATGAGCTTCTCTCAAATAGGATGTATTTTCTCCATGGTTAAAGTTGCATCATAATTTTCCTTCTGCTTGGATAAAACACTAAGCCATTGTAGCCTATGTATAGAATTGTTAACAATAAAGTTTTAGAGGACAATGTTTCTTCAAAGGAAAAAGTGAGCTAGAAGACAGAATGACAGATGTTTTTGAATTTTTTTATTCCTGTCTTGACACTCTTTGCTAAATTTCACAGAATAATCATGTAGATCTTAGGGCAGTGCTTATTTCTGGGTCTTTTTTTTTAAATCCCAGGAATAAAATGAATGGTTACAATGAGTGTTCACCACACTACTGTGTGGTACTGTGGATTAAATTCAGGCCCCTTATTTTTTATTTTTGAGACAGGATCTCACTATAGCTAAATTATCTAGGCTCTGCTCGAACTTGAAAATGACTTTTGGAATCATTTAGAACATTGTGTCAGGAGCCAGGTACAGTGGCATGCACCTGTAATCCCAGCACTAGGAGGCTAAGCCAGTAATATTGAGAGTTCAAGGCCAGACTGAGGTATGTAGAGAATCCAAGGCCAGGCTAGATTACATAGTAAGACCCTGTCTCAGAAAAGGAAAAAATGAGTTCTGTCAGCATCTTTGAACCTGCTGTTTCTACTTCTGCTTAGGAGGAAGATCATCAAACCTCTTGGAATACTTGCCTCAGCTGTGTCCTACATCTCAGTTGTTTTGCGCTTCTGGCTGTCCTGAGTTTGATCCTAACTGTAGTATTTGTCACACCGAAGCAGTTGCTCATTTCACCTGTAGAACTATTTTAAAAACATGAAATCATGGAGGAAGCACAATAAGTAAAATATATAAACATGGGACGGATCCTCTCCCCGCTTTGTCTCACACAGCCTCCCACCCCACAGTCGTTCATGAGGGAAGCTTTTAGAAATAAAGAATTGCACTTGTAGTACTTTTTGAAAACAGGATTTGGGACCATTGCCCTAACATTCTTGTGCTTTTAATGATCTGAAAAGTGGGCTTCTTCAGTAATTAAAACTCACAGTAAAATAACTTTTTAAAATTTCCTAATAAGACTTTATTAATTCAGCAAAAATCAGAAGTTAGATTTGGAACCCAAAGTTAAATAAGACATGGTTTCCTCAAGGGGAAGGCAGCCTAGTCAACATTTATTTCATGTTTTCAGAACTTTCAAGATAATTCTGGAAGAGAAGAGGTTTACTTTGGGGTTACTGTTCTCCCTCAATAGTATTTAATATGGTAATAATGGAGGACTAGTCAGTGATTTGAAGTATACACAGAAAATACTGGGTAGAAATATATAAAATTTCTCACACAATTACAATTTTAAAGAGCTGCAACCTTATTTAGTTCAGTGACCACATATTAAAGATAAACAGTGGGCCCTAGATGTTTCTAGATTTGTTTAATTTTTGTACATAGTAGA